ACTCTAACCCTAGCGTCTAACCCTGGACACGATAAACCAAACGAAGCTGAGTTCGCGGCTCCCCCCCTCTAGTCGCCCTCTAGGTTCCACTTTACTTAAAAACCTGCGACGGTCCAGGGGCAGGTTTTTCGGGTTTTACTGTGACGGTGATTTGCGGCCGGCGAGTTTACTGCCGGGCCGGTTTTCCGGCGGCCGAAAGGCCCTTCAAGCCGTGGCGTCCCGCGTACTACGCGGCGCACGTGACGCGCGGAAACGACCGAAATAAACTCTGCTTCATTGGCGCGGATATTACGGCGCTTCGCGGTTCCTCCTGCGAGGACGGCGCTGGTGTGTTAGGGGTTTGACAGCCAATTTATCGTGCTTCACTTCAAGTTGAGGTCAACTTTACTTCAATTTACCACGGAAATTCGCCGATTTCGCGCACCTAGCGGCGCCGGCAAATCGAGTTCCGGCAAACGAAAAACCTGCGACGCCTCCGGCAACGCAAGTAAACCTGCACCTGCCGGCGAATTACGGCAGTAAAGTGGAACCTAGGTCGCCCTTCAAGCCTTAAGTGCCTCGCGCCTGGTGCTATCTCTGTCGGGGGAGCCCGTAGGGTCCGTGGGGCGCTTCCGTGGGCCGGTCGCGGCGGCTTATACTGAGCCTACTGAGTCGACTCAGTCTCAGTATGGGGGCGGCTGCGGATCGCTGGATTTCCCGGGGATCATCGACACAACAATCACAGTTAGCCTACCCTGGGAGACGTGGTGGGCGGAGGCGTCCATATTCGGGGTCACAGTGCCTGCGCGCGACGATCGTGGCGATGCGACCCCTCACCCTCACCGCCGGCGCACACACTATGGGCGCGCGCGTCCAGCCCCGTGATCTTCAGACTTAAGATATGGCAGGCCCCATGTCACCCCTCTCCAGGGTGGAAAGCAAAACTTTTTGAGGCGCCAGCCGCGCGGTGGGGACTATCTGCGTTAAGCTAGCCGCGCCGGGATATTAGTCACTGACGGTCGGGTCGAGTGGGGCCTAAAGGGAGGCTAGAGACCGGAAAAAAATTCCGCGCGCGTCTACCCCCTTCTGGGTGTAGCTTGTGTGCCGGCAGATCTGGCGAAGCGAAGTGTGCCGGCACACCCAGAAATAGCGTTTTGTCGGTGTGCCGGCACGTTTGGTCGGGCCCCAAGTCGACGGGGCCGGGGCCTGGGCGTTTGCCGGCACAGCGGGAACACATTCTAACCCTCGGACGCTGAATTGATTCGCTTGAAGCGCCCCTGTGCACGTTATGGCTGCGACCGGCCCCGGGGGCGGGCCCGGAGTTTGAACACCATGCCATGGTACAGTGCGTCTCAGCGTCATGACATCGTGCGCGCGTCGCGTTACATAGTGTTCCGGTCGCGATCTTCGCGTCCGACGGGGCAGCCCCTGGGTCGATGGTCGTTTCGTGTGGTTTATGTGCGAATTCGTCCTTTCGGACGGAATAAAATGCTACGTCCGGACATCCATTTTTCTTGATTGTGGGTTCGCTTCCACGCGCGCGTGACGACGACGACGACGACGACG